TTGATGGGCAGAGAAGGTGACATGCCCAAGGGGCCGAACTGGGGCCACCAGCAGTCCTTCTGACTCTCAGAGTCCCAATTTCCTCCTCCTTAATCGTAACAAGGACCCTCATACAATACTACCTATTTCCTATGTGGACCTAGAAGGGCGTATCCAGCCCCTTCCAGTCCCACCTTTGGATGACTACCCAGCTCCAGGATCCTTGCTTTACCAGGCCCAGAGCAAAATAAAAAGCAGGTGGGCAGGTCAGCCACAGAACTCAGTGTGGGGCTCTCAGTGTCTGGCATGGCTTTGAGAGGTGCTGCTGCCCAGCTCCCAGGTGATAGGAACTGAGGACTAAGAAGTTCACATGAATCCTTCATGTGTATTATCTCTGCTACCTCAGAACAGCTTCCCATTTTAGAGCTGGAAGCAATAGGGCTCAGGGAGTTGCCTCTTGACTTTGGGATTTAAGAGCAAACCAGGATTGAACTTGGGTTCTTTGATGCCTGATGGCAGGTGCCTAGGCAGGGGTCCCAGCCTCACTATAGCTCTGATCAGGAGTGAGTGGGTCTGGAGTCCTAGCGAGGAAGAATGGGTGAGCAGCCAGAAGCTACATCAGAAGGTATGGGGGACACGCTGGAAGGGAAGTGGGTGTGTGGGCACAGATGGGACCAGAAAAGGCTGGAGCACTGCTTCTCTGCTGGAGGAGGATAGAGAGGATGTGGGTACCTGCAAGTGTACCTGTGTCTCGCTCACCCACGAGCCCAAGTATGACTGGTGGTGCCCCGGAATACCCAGCAATGCAGGAGCATCCAGACACCTTCCTGGCCTCAGTTTCCCTGTCTGAGTGAGAGAAGGCAGCTGGCCACATTAGTGTCCAACTCTGCAGGGTTGCCAGAGTAAGATAACTGCATCTGAAGATGCCACCCAGAGACTGTTCACGACAGCCAGCGGGCAAGCCGGGAGACCACCCCCCTTCCCGCTTTCTTTCCTCTCTCTCCCCTCTCTCCCCTCTCCCCTACTTGCTTGCGGCCTGGCCCCGCCCCTCGCCTTCCTCCGGTGTGCGATGGGGGGCGGGGGGCGGGCAGAGCCGGGAGGAGCGAGCCTAGCGGACGCCGCCACCTGATCCCATCCAGGCGCTGAGAGGCAAGCCACCGGCACTCGGCGCGCAGGGCCCTGGGCACCCTCGGACCCCGTGCGGATTTCAAGACAAGGGTCTAGAGATAGCGGCGGCCGCCCCCAGCCCGGGCGAGAGGTAGAGCCCAGGCGCGCGGTGTGAGTACTGCAGTGGCCGGCCTGGGGTTGGGGGAGTGGGAGTGGACCAGACCGGGATGGGGGCCGAGAGGCGGGCGAGAGAGTATCTTGGGGGCCTAGTGCCTGGAAAGCATGAGGAGGGGGGCGCTGTACCCCTGGAAAGTGGGAGAAGATAGGGTGAGCGGGCCAATCTGGCCTATCCCCTATGGTGACCAGATCCCACTGGCAGGATCCCTGGGGGATGCTGGGATGAAACTGAGGGAGCGGGAGGTATGGTGCGGGTGGGCACTAATGGAGACAGGAGGATGGAGGGAATTCCGAGGCAGGGATGATGTGGGGGTGGATGAGAGAGAGGGGAGGCTGAGGGGCCGGGGCAGACCTGGTGCAGGCTGGGGGGTGGGGGAGGAGGAAAAAGAGGGAGGTGGAAAGATTTGCTCTCCTGGGCCAGTACTTTGCAGACCCCCTGAAATTACCCCTCAGTAATTTGCAGCTTCCTCTGGAGCACCCTGGGTCAGGGTCCCTCAACACTGGGCTGTCCTATCCCTCAAGTCAGGACAGGATGGAGTCTCCGGGCCATCCAGCAGTCAGGGCCAAGTAGTCCAGTCCAGGGCACCCCTTCCTCTGAGTACATCAGTTTCAGCTCTAGAGCTCAGAGGAGAGAGAGGAGAAAGGGCTCCTTTAGGAGGGTGGGCACCCAGGCCCATTTTCAAAGCTCTGGTAGGCTCTACTATTTCTTTGGTTCCCTAGAGAAAAGCAAGCAATTTGCAAGACTGGGCAGCAGCGTGAGGTAGACTGTTCTGACTAAAATTAGCACTGACATTCTGATGAGCCTGGGCGTCCTGACCTGCCTGGGATAGCTGGGAGAACTCTCTCCATGCAGAAGACACCAGGCAGAATGGGGAGTTGTGTGAAGCGTCTGAAGGCAGGAGCCAGGGCCACTGCTGTAAAGCTCGGCTCCAGCAGCACCACCATGCACCCCACACCAGCCAGAAAATCAGATGTAAACCCAGCCCAATGACCCCTCCCTGACAGGCACTGCCTTGGCTCCATCTCCAAAACAGGCATCTTGGAGTCAAATTGCCAAGGCAAGGCAGGCCTCCCACAATGTCCGAGCAGCACCCTCTCTCAGGACCTGGAATGTTTAGCCTGGCCGAGTGCCTGCCCAGAGGAGACAGGGTTACTGCTTCCAAATACCTGAAGGTCTGTCATGGAGAAAAATGTTCTGTGTGCTCTAGGAGGGCAGCACTACCAAGAGTGCAGAATGGGAGGTGGAAGGGGCAGGCCGAAGCGGGTGCTACCACTGGCAGGGTAATCCTGGCTGTCCCGGAAAGAACCTGAACAGCTGTAAGTTGCTCAGAAATGGACCAGGCTGTATCGGGAGGTGATGAACACCCTGTCACTGACAGTGGCCATACAGATGCTGGTGCCCACCTTCAGGGGCTGGTGTCCAGGGAATTCCTGCACTGAGGATGCCCTGTCCCCTACCCCTAAGCAGCCTCAGACTGGGGCCTGGCTAGCTCCCCAGAGCTCAGCCATGTGGGAAAGTGGGGAAAGGCCGGGAGTGGATGGAGGGGGATACTAGGCACCTGTCACTCTGTGAGGCCAGTTGAAGCTCTGCCCCGGGAAAGGTCCCCCATAGCTAGGCTTGACTTCCTTGGCTGACTCTGAATCCTCTGAGAAATAGGGTGGTTTCTGCAAGTTTAGCAAAAGTAGATGTAGACTCACCCCTTCCCCTCTTGGGACACTTCTGTCTAATCACCAAGTTCTCTAAGCAGCAGGAATGACAGAGGAAAAAGGTGTGTATCCTTAGAGGGCCAAGGGCTCTCACTTCCTCCTGCAAGCAGCCCCAGCGAGGCCAGGCCAGCCCTTCTCTGCCCCAGCAATCCTTGAAGAAACAGGGAAGGCCTTAGACTTCCTCTGCTGTGCCCTTGGTTGCCCTCTGTGACTGGACCCTTCACCCTTGGCTCCGGCCGGATTAAGTCTGTCTGCAGGCAGGTGGAGGGAAGCAGCGATAAGGCCTAGAGAGAAGGGGAGGCATAAGCAGGACATCTTTCCACCCAAACAGGTTTAAATGTAATCCAGGATTAAGGCAGTAGGGTCAAGAAGAGAGACTGGAAGCCAAGCCCAGGGCTCCTGGAAAAGGTGATGATCAAAAGAGTTTTCACATTACCTCACCCCTCCTGGGACCCAGGTGTCCTAGTTCCACATGCACATGCCCATCAAGTTCCAGGCTCCCCCTCCCCCATGGAGAAGGATATGTGTGAGGGCTGAAGCTGAACTTGAACCTGGAGACTAAGGCCCCACCCTAGCTTGGGGACAGGCATCACTGCTGAAGCGGACTTTCCACAGAAGCTGCCCAGGATTGGGCTGCCCTTAAGCCAAGGCATTCCTGTGGGGAAAGGAGACTTGTGCGAGACCAGGCCCTCCTCCCTTCTCTCACTCCTGGGCTTACCTGGGATGGAAGCTCACCTTCTCCTGGAGATCCTCAGTAGGGCAACAAGCAGGAGCCACCTCTTACCCGACCCGCACCCCCGCCCAGGCTGCCATCCTATTGCTTTGGTCAGGCACTTTTCCCTGCAGAGTCAGCTGATGGGGCTGCCTGGGTTTCAGGTGTCTGGGGATGGAATCCAGATAGGGCTCCAGAATTTCAAGACCTTCCTTTCCCTCATGAATTTCTCAGTCTTGGGCCCTCAGGGCAGGAGCCCAGCTAGGAGCGCTCAGGACTCAGAAGCATGCAGAATTGCCAGAGTCTAGGGCAAGGTTGGGGAAATCAGTTCTCTTACAGAAATAGCATATACAGTGCCTAAGGGCATGGACTTCGGAGCCAGAAACAGCAGGTGTGAATCTCATTTCTACTGTTACCAGCTGTGTAGCTATAGACAAGTGATATCATCTCTCAGAGCCTCAGTTTCCTTATCTGTACAGTGGGAATAATACCTATGTCAGGGCTGTGGTGAGGACTAAATGGGAATAAGTATGTAATAATATAGTACGTAGAGTAAGCCTGCAGTTTCGACTCAAAGCCCTATCGATCCAAGGAGGTGAAAGCCTGATCAGTGTTTCTGAGAAGCTCGGTTTCTCTGGGGAGTCAGGACCAACCCTGGGCTACAGCAATTGTGCAAGGAGTCCTGGAGGAGAGGAAACTTTGAGTTGAGACCTCTTTGTTCTGAGCTAAGCCCTGGTGCTGAAGCCACTCCACTGGGGAGACATGTACAAATGACCATGAGACAAAGACGAGTTAGGAGCAGGCAGAGAGACAGAGACAGGGCTGAGGGGTGGGAGTGGCTACGGCCTGAAGGGCTGGCTACACCCCAGACCGTGTAATTCCACCCAAGACTAGGTTATCTGGAGCAGTGAGGAGATAGGGTCTTGGTAGCAGGAGGCAGGAATCTGATCTGCTCTGGCCTCTCTGTTCACCCCACCTCTTGGAGCTCTTTGCATCAGACCTGCTGGGGCCCAGAGCCCATCTCCTCTGCCCACTGCAAACTCATCTGCCTTCTTCTGCCAGGCTTCTCGGGAACACTGGCCCTGCTACCAGAGCCACAGGATCCCCCATGAGTGCCTGTGAAGGGAGTCCTGGATAGCGAGGCCCTGGCTGGTCCAGGGGTGGGTACTCCGCCATGCCACCCATCCTCCAGCGCCTGCAGCAGGCCACCAAGATGATGAGCCGCCGGAAAATCCTGCTGCTGGTGCTAGGGTGCAGCACCGTAAGCCTTCTCATCCACCAGGGGGCGCAGCTCAGCTGGTAAGGGGGCGTGGCCTCGGCGAGGGGGCGGGGCCCCAGGGGGGTCAGAGCTCCCCTCCCCGTTCTTCCACCTGCCAGAAGAGTCCTGCTAGGCTTGGCTCTTTCCCTCTATTCTGAACGTGCTTTCCCTTTCGGGCCACACAGCCTCCCTGGACAGGGACTGCTCTTCAATGAAAGGGTTGAGTGACTTGCTCAAAGTTACAGAATCAGTTAGCTGAGATCCGAATCCAGCTCAACTCCTTCCCAGAGCATGCAGCTAAGCATCTCCGCAGTGGAAACAACTTCGCACGACTTCCCTAGTGCTGGGCAAGGCCAAGTCCCCTCACTTCTCTGAGCCCCAGTTTTCTCATCTATAAAGTGAGACATGATGTGTGTGACGCAGCCAGTCACCCTCATACAGGATACCATGTGATTCATGGGAACCCCGACCCTATTCTGACTCACTGTGTGAGCCCAACAAATCCCTGCACCTCTCTGGGCACTTGATGTCCCCATTTTCTACACTGTCAGCCCCTGAGAATGGTGTGAATGGGCCCAGCCCTCCATGCCAGATAATTTGCTGGTTTGAAATCCCAAACACCCATATTTTAAGAATGAAGCAACAGAAATGAAAGCTTCACGAGGGCTATGATTATTGTTTTGTATATTACTGTATTTCTTGAGCCTAGCATAACCTGGCACATAGTGGAGACCCAAAAAATATTTGATGACTGAATGAATGAGGCTTTAGAGGCCTTAAGAGAAACATAACAATGGGTTGCTGCAGAGCCCAGTGCAAACCATCCACAAAGTGAGGAGCCAGCTAAAGAGTAAAAATGAAAAAGAACAAAAGGATTTAGTGACCATGTGAGTTGTCTCCAGACTTTGTGTAAGTGATTGTTCTCCTTTTGGCCCTCAGTTTCTACATATACAAAGTGGGATTCCTCAAAGATCTCCAGGGGTCTTTATCCTTTATTTATTTCTGCATAAACAAATTATCTTAAAGCTTAGCAGCTGGAAACACAAACATCTGTTATTGTGGGTCACAAAGCCAGGTGCGGCTTATTGGGAACTTCTGGACCAAGGTCTTTCATGGGGTTGCAACCAAGGTGTTTGCTGGTGATGCAGTCTCATCCGAAGGCTTGATTGGAAGGGAGCAGCTTCCAAGCTCACTCACGTGGTTTTGACTGGCTTCAGGTCTTCAAGCGGGCTGGTGGACTGAGGACCTTAGGTCCTTATGGGCTTTTCCCACTTAGTGGTAGCTCCCTATAGGGCTGCCCACTATATGGCAGCTTGCTTCCCCCAGCATCTGTCATCCCGGATTGAGTGAAAGACACCAAGATACTAGCCAGCCACAGTCTTTCTATGATGAAATTTAAGAAGTGACATCCCATCATTTCTGCCTTCTTCTCTTCTTTAGATGCACTGATAAGTCCAGCCTACCTCAGGTGAGGGGAATACTCAAGGGCGTAAATACCAGGAGGCCAGCAGGGATCATAGGGGCATCTTAGAGGCTACCCAGCACCGCCCTCAACCTTTCCATGAGTGCAGACTAGGCGGGGCCACGCTGTGGGGCATCCACAGTCCTTGGGTAAGGCCAGGGGTCAAGCAGCAGCCCCCTCACACCCTCCTCTCTGCACACCCCTCGGGCCTGGCAGGTACCCCAAGCTGTTCCCCCTGAGCTGCCCTCCTCTGCGAAACTCGCCGCCGCGCCCCAAGCACATGACCGTGGCCTTCCTGAAGACTCACAAGACGGCAGGCACGACGGTGCAGAACATCCTGTTCCGCTTTGCCGAGCGCCACAATCTGACGGTGGCCCTGCCGCACCCGAGCTGCGAGCACCAGTTCTGCTACCCGCGCAACTTCTCGGCGCACTTCGTGCACCCGGCCACGCGGCCGCCGCACGTGCTGGCCAGCCACCTGCGCTTCGACCGTGCAGAGCTGGAGCGCCTCATGCCGCCCGGCACCGTCTATGTCACCATCCTTCGCGAACCGGCCGCCATGTTCGAGTCGCTCTTCAGTTACTACAACCAGTACTGCCCGGCCTTCCGACGCGTGCCCAACGCCTCGCTCGAGGCCTTCCTGCGCACGCCCGAGGCCTACTACCGCGCCGGCGAGCACTTCGCCATGTTCGCACACAACACGCTGGCCTACGACCTGGGCGGCGACAATGAGCGCAGCCCGCGCGACGACGCCGCCTACCTGGCGGGCCTCATCCGCCAGGTGGAGGAGGTTTTCTCGCTCGTCATGATCGCCGAGTACTTCGACGAGTCGCTAGTGCTGCTGCGGCGCCTGCTGGCCTGGGACCTGGACGACGTGCTCTACGCCAAGCTCAACGCGCGCGCCGCCAGCTCGCGCCTGGCCGCCATCCCCGCGGCGCTGGCGCGGGCGGCGCGCACCTGGAACGCCCTGGACGCCGGCCTCTACGACCACTTCAACGCCACCTTCTGGCGCCGCGTGGCGCGCGCCGGCCGCGCGTGCGTGGAGCGCGAGGCTCGCGAGCTGCGCGAGGCCCGCCAGCGCCTACTGCGGCGCTGCTTCGGGGACGAGCCAGTGCTGCGGCCTGCCGCGCAGATCCGCACCAAGCAGCTGCAGCCGTGGCAGCCCAGCAGCAAAGTGGACATTATGGGCTACGACCTGCCCGGCGGCGGCGCCGGCGCGGCCACCGAGGCCTGCCTCAAGCTGGCCATGCCTGAGGTCCAGTACTCGAACTACCTGCTGCGCAAGCAGAAGCGCCGGGGCGGTGCGCGGGCTCGGCCCGAGCCGGTCCTGGATAATCCCCCGCCTCGGCCCATCCGAGTGGTGCCTCGCGGGCCTCAGGGTCCCTGAGCTCCGCAGGCCTCTAGGAGTATGGGTCCTGGGTCCTGGGTCCTGCCCTGCCCTCCCAGGAGTTCAGCCAGGCGCTGCCTCCATGTCCTGCCCCATGAGAGCCCTTTCTTTTCGAGGGGCTTGAGTCCCTCGCCGAACTTTGGGGTACGCCTCCGTGAGACCCCTCTCCCCATCGTGGGCTGAACCCCGCCTTCGGGCACGGCGCTGATAGGCTGGATCCAGCACTGGGCCACCCTCTTCTTCCCAGCTGGTTGGTGATTTTGACGAGAGGCCTGAGGGCTGTCCAAAACCGCTCACTCTGCCTTTTTCTGGGGGCTGAGCGCCCCCGACCTGTCTTTTCCAAGTGGATAAGCCCAGGCCCCGCGGAGAGAGGCTGAGCCCTGGGGAAAGGCTGCTCTTGCTCTCCTTCCCAGGGCTTGAGGCTCCCTATACTTTTCTGTCTTCCAGGTTCTACCCTCCCCACAGACCTAAGCTGCTCCCAGCCTCTCAGAACCAAGAGTTCTTGGGTTGGGATTTTTGTCTGGTTGGTTTTTCTTTTTTTTAATAAAACATCTTTAAAATGTGCGAGTCGTATGTCAGTCATAGAAGCCGGATTCCCCACATTTGAGGATGAAACGAATTCCCAGGAGGAGCTGTGGCTGGAGCCATGAGGATGGGGGCGTGGACTCAAGGTCCCCCGCCACCTGGCATAGGCCCACAACCCTCCTCAACTGCTTGACTGACTAGGCCCCCAACACAGACTGGCCACCTCAGCCCCACTCACTTTCCGCATCGTTCTTTTTCACAAAATTCTGCAACATTTACTGAGCATCATCTCTGTAATTTGGAGATACAGGTGAACCAGGCAGATAGGGCCTTATTTTCATGGAGCTCATGGGGAAACTTTGGAACAGGAGCAAAGCAGGTAAGCAAAGAGGAAGGACTGGAGGGATTAGAGCAAAACACCTCCTTGGGTGGAAGGAGGATCATTTTCAGGTAAGGAGCTGCCTAACTCAGAATTTGACCACCCCTGACAATCACTGACTTCACTAATGGCCTGCTTTCCTCACAAGAAGACAACTCAGACTCAGATGAAGACCAATCCCTTTCTGCGATTTCCTTTAACACAGCAAGATACCCAGCACTTCGAGGTGAAATCTCCCTTAAGACTGACTAGCAGAGAATCAGGACTTTTTCTGTTACTTTCTTCAGAGCTATATCGACATATCTGGACAAGTCATAAAAACAATAACTACTATGGTCTACGGTGTGCCAGCCACCGTTTAAGGTCTTTATGTATATTAACTTTGGAGATGGGTGCCATTTTCCAGGTGAGGGAACTGAAACTTGGGGGAGATTAAGTCAGGGTCACACAGCCAGAAAGTGGCCACTAGGATCTGAACCAAGACAGTGTGGCTTCAGAGTCTGTGCTCACAAGCGCTGTCTGTAGTGCCATTCAAATAAAAAAGGTCACCTGCCACAAGCTAGGCTGACTCCCAGCACCTTCCCCCAAAAGAATGTAAAGGGAAGAACCAAGACACTGCTATCAGCAACTCTTTATCCTGTTTTTCATGGAAACAACGGTTGACCTGTTTGGACAACGAACATTGCAGTGTTTGGTTGGCAGGATGCATGACACGCTGGGCTTGAAAGGGGACTGTTGGTATGGCACCCCACTTTTTACCAGCAGAGCTCTGAAAAAGGCAATAATTAGAATCATGCAAAAGCATAGTTAAGTTTCTGACATTAAGCAGCAGTAAAGAATTGTACCAGACTCAAAGTGATCTATCCAAAAATAGGTGTCCTCTGGCCCCCAGCCAGTAAGGTGCTTGCCATTGTCTCCATCTGCACCCCCAGCCCTAGCCTCTGGTCATAACTCTGCCAGGAACATCCTTCACCTTGCCCTCAGTTGGCCTGGAAAATTCAGACATGCCTTTAAATCTACTTTTTTTTTTTTTTTTTTTTGAGAGTCTCACTCTGTCTCCCAGGCTAGAGTGCAGTGGTGCAATCTTGGGTCACTGCAACCTCCACCTCCCAGGTTCAAGGGATTCTCCTGCCTCAGCCTCCTGAGTAGCTGGGATTACAGGTGCCTGCCACCACACCCGGCTAATTTTTGTATATTTAGTAGAGATGGGGGGATTCGCCATGTTGGCCAGGCTGGTCTCGAACTCCTGACCTCAGGTGATCTGCCCACCTCGGCCTCCTAGAGTGCTGGGATTACAGGCATGAGCCCCCACGCCTGGCCAAGTCTGCTTTGATAAGTGTCCCAGTTCATTATGTGTTGCCATAAAGAAATGACTGAGGATTGAGTTTATTTGACTCAATCCTGATGACTAGAAAGTTCAGGATTGGTATCTGTATCTGGCGAGGGTCTCAGGCTGCTTCTGCTGGGCACCCCAAGTATGCAGAGACCACAGGGGAAGCAAGGGGGTCACAGGAGGTGCCAGGTCTTTTTAACAACCAGCTCTTGGAACTGAGAGTGAAAAAGCACACTTAATCCTCAGGGAAGGCATTAATCTTTTCATGAGGAATCCACACCCATGAGCCAAACACCTCTCATTAGGCCTACCTCCAACATTGTGGATTAAATGTCAACATGAGGTTTAAGGGACAAACAGCCAAACCACTGCAATAGGCCTCCCCTGGCCTCCCTGGCCGCCAGGCAGGCGGGCCCTCCTTTATAAACCTTGCCCCACCTCAGCAGAGAGCACAACTCTGGTCTCAGAAAAATCTGGAGTCAGGGGCAAATGGAATCATCAGGTACTTGGAGAGGGTTCTCTGTTTGACTCAGGGGCAAGGGCAAATCCTAAAGCTGAGCAGGGGCTCTGGAACTCTTTGGTGGGAACATCTCCAGCTTCAGCCACAACCAGGTGAACAGGCCTCAGCCCCTGGGACCCCAACCCCTAGGACTCCTGCAAGGAGGCTCCTTCCACCAACAAACACTGGGTGCTGCCCACTCTGTGCCTACTCAGAATGGTCCCAGAACTTTGGCAGTGAGTGAAACGTGGTCCCTGCCTTGAGGAGCTCACCCTAAGGTCTAGAGAAGATGTGGAGGCAGCAAACCTGGCCAACAATGACTCTATGGGGGTGATCTTGCCTTGTGATTAACCACTGGGGCTCTGGAGTTCAAACCCTGGCTCTGCCATCTACCAGTTACATACTTTGAACTTAGCCTTTGAGTCTCGCTTTCCTCACCTGTGAAATAAACAGGCCCCTAGCACAGGTCCTGGCACACAGAGGTTCTCCCAAGATGCCATCTCTGGTTTCATCAGGACTCCTCCAGGGTCAACACCTTTCATGTTGTAGATGTTATAGTTTGACACATCTATTAGAAGAGTTTTTTTCGCAGATGGAAGAAAGCATTTTGAGGAAGGGGTGACTTTTTCTACTTTCCCCAAAGCCATGGTATGGGCTATGAGCAGCCTTGATTTTTTCTTTATTTGTTTGTTTGTTTTGAGACAGGGTCTCACTCTGTTGCCCAGGCTGGAGTGCAGTAGTGCAATCATAGGTCACGGCAGCCTCGAACTCAAGTGATCCTCCTATCTCAGTCTCCTGAGTAGCTGGGACTATAGGCTCATGGCACCATACCCAGCTAATTATTTACTTTTTTTGTAGAGACAGGGTTCTTAGTATGTTGCTCAGGCTGGTCTCAAACTCCTGGACTCAAGTGATCCTCCTGCCTTGGCCTCCCAGAGTGCAGGGATTGCAGGTGTGACCCATCGCACCCAGTCCAGCCTTGATTTTCATGAATATAGGAAGCACAAAGTGTGTAAGGAGCAAAGAGGAGGACAGGAATGCCTGCCTGAGGTCAGGAGAGGTTCTCTGGAGAAGAGATGTCCCAGATGAGAACAGGGATGGAGGAAGGGGCTCTGGACAGAGGGAACAATACATGCAACACGCAGAGGTGCCGGGTATGAGAAAGCCTGGGCCCTGTGAGACAGGGATGCTGGGCCATCTGGCTGGGGAGAAATATGCCAGTGCCAGATTATGAAAGCCCTTGAATGTCATGCTTAGAAGTTCAGATTGAGGCCGGGCATGGTGGCTCATGCCTGTAATCCCAGCACTTTGGGAGGCCGAGGCAGGCAGATTGAGGTCAGGAGTTCCAGACCAGTCTGACTAACATGGTGAAACACTGTCTCTGCTAAAAATACAACAATTAGCTGGGCATGGTGGCGGGTGCCTGTAATCCCAGCTACTCGGGAGGCTGAGGCAGGAGAACTGATTGAGCCTCGGAGGTGGAGGTTGCAGTGAGCTGAGATGGCGCCACTGCACCCCAGCCTGGGTGACAGAGCAAGACTCCATCTCAAAAAAGAAAGAAAAAGAAGAGGAAGGAGAAGCAGAAGTTCAGATTGGCTAGTTTCTAAGGATCATGTGGATGAATCAAGATTCCTAGTGCAAACACAATGATCCTGAGGGGATGGAGCCTGAAGGCATCACCCAGAGCATCTGGAATGAGATTGTCAACAGCTTTGATGACATAGACCTCTTGGAGCCCCTCCTTCATGGCTTCTATGCATATGGTTTTGGGAAGGTCTCTGACTTCCAGCTGCATTAGTCTTCCTCCTATTAAAGGTTATGTTGTGGTTGATTGCTCAAGCCCAATCTGGGGCTGGGAATATGGCCACATTTGCCATATCCATTCTACAGCAGATTGAATTGAATCTTAAGGCTACCTAGGCCTTGGTCCTGGAACCCACTTGAGAATTGGTTCAGTAGATGCAGAAAACGGCCATGGCATTAGATTATGTGTGTGCCTCCTGTCACACCTGCACTGGGGGCACGCACATGCATGTTGAAGTAGAAGCAGAAGCTGCAGATGGAAGCTCCCCATATCATCGTAGTACTCCTGGCCACGTATTTGATATGTTTCACTGGAGATACTGTCTCCCAAATACAGCAAGAGGCTTGCATTGGATGAAGCTGATGAAATGTTAAGCCAAAGATTCAAGAACCAGATCTATGCCATATTCCAAAACCTCAGCCAGTCACAGTGGCTCACACCTGTAATCCCAGCACTTTGGGAGGCAAAGGAGGGAAAATCACTTGAGCTCAGGAGTTGGAGAATAGCCTGGGCAACAGAATGAGACCACAGTTTCTACAAAAAAAATTTAAACATTATCTGGGCGTAGAGGCATGCACCTATAGTCTCAGCTACTTGGGAAGCTGAGGCACAAAGATCACTTGAACCCAGGAGTTGGAGGCTGCAATGAGCTATGATCACACCACTGCATTCCGGTCTGTGTGACAGAGTGAGATCTGTCTCTAAAAGTAACAATAATTAATAAATAAAGCTCAACAGCAACACTCAGATGGTTTTGCTATCAGCTATAATGCCTTTTGATGCACTTGAGGTGACCAAGAAGTTCATGAGGGACCCTGCCAGAATCCTTGTCAATAAGGAAGAGTTTGCCCGGGCGTGGTAGCTCATGCCTGTAACCCCAGCACTTTAGGAGGCCGAGGCGGGCGGATCACGGAGGTTAGGGATCGAGAACCATCTGGCAAACACGGGTGGAACCATCTCTACTAACATACAAAGAAATAGGTCGGTGTCGTGTGGCAGAGGGCCTGTAGTGCGGTGAACTCGGAGCTGAGGCAGGGAGAATGGTGAACCGGAGGGCGGAGTTGCAGTGAGCCGGGGATTAGCGCCCCTGCTCCGGGCCCTGGGCGACAGAGCAGGACTCTGTCAAAAAAAAAAAAGAGAGAGGAAGAGTTTCACCTGGAGGGTATCTTGCATTTTTACTCGCAGCATACGAGCAAGAAGAGTCGGAGGCTCGAGCACGTGTGACTTGTATGGGAACCTGATCTCGCCAGGCAGTATCTTAGCATTACCCCAAGGGAAGGCTGATTTGGGCTCACTGAGAAGAAGGTGCTTGCCAGAGATCTACGTTTCTGCTGCCATGAGATATGAACAAAAGAGCAGGATATTGATCATGAGGCGTCCATTTCTGGCCCTAAGCGAGCATGAGTTACACTGGTCTCTGGCGGGAATTGGCGGGCCAGGGTTTCTTAAATCATTCGGCTATGCTTTCCCACCAACAGGGAAAATTGATATTCAAATGAGTAGTCAGGTCATGGTGGATGTTTTGGCCATAGGGTGTGGCTCCTAAACGTAACACCGAAGAGCAGGGGGATATCTAGAGCATCAAGGATGTACCTCACCCCACTGGGGGAGGATGTCAGTGCTGTTGCACATTTTCTGGGGCAGGCTGGATTGCACCTGGCCCAGCAGGTGTCAATTTTTGGGGACTGGGGCTGGGGCGCGGTGGGTCAGCCCTGGTAATTTCATGCACTTTTGGGAGGCGAGGGCGGGGCGGATCACGAGGTTAGGGGATCGAGGCCATCCTGGCTAACACAATGAAGCCTGTTCTACTAAATACAAAAGAATTGCCATGCGTGGTGGCGGGTGCCTGTCAGGGTTGCTACTCAGGGGGGCTGAGGCAGGCGGAGAATGGACGGTTGAACATCGGGAGATGAGCTCGCATGAAGCCGAGATGCACTGACCTGACCTCCAGCCTGGGTGGGCAAAGTGGGCTCCTCCAAAAAAAAAAAATCAGGGCTGAGGAGCAGCAGGAGGTGGAGGGAAGGGAGCTGAGGGATGGACATCTTGTTAGTTTTTTTTTGGAGACCTAGTCTCAATCTCCCTCTGTTATCCAGGCTGGAGTGCAGTGGTAAGATCTCGCCTCACTGCAACCTCTGCCTCCTGGGTTCAAGTGATTCTCCTGCCTCCGCCA